AGTGATCACCAAACATGCCCTTACGTCATGTTCCAGAGTTACCTTTGTCAAGAAGGAAATTTTCAGTTTGCAAAAGGAGCAGTCCCTGGCCAAGTTGGAACCCCGGACCTTTGTCTTTCAAGGCATCGACGTTACCTTCGGTCCAAATGAGCAGCATGACTGCCCTACTTGCCGTTTTGAATATAATAAGCAAAAGATTCTGTGATTTTGTCCTTTAGGATTTTAAACTAGAAAAAGATTATGCTCCCATCAGGCGCGGATTTAGGAATTTCTCGAGGGGGGTGGGGCGGATTTTAAAATAAAATTGAAAATTTTGTCGACTTTTTTTAGGTCGACCAAATTGATTTTCTGAGTTCTCTCAAAACACTATCAAGACCGTAACTTGACCAAATTGTCTGCGCCGCAGGCAAGTTTTTGAAAAAGGCCAAAAAAAAGCGTTTCTAAGCACTTTTTAAAAGTTTTTGACCAAAAAATCGCGTTTTTTCGGCGCGCGCTCCCCCCTCAAAATTGGTATTTCTTGGCGCCAAAAGCGACTTTAGAAAAATTAAGGGGTCGTTCAGCCAAAAATGGATATCTCAAAATAGTTCAAAGTGGGGCTCTTTGGGTCGGCAGGGAGTCGAATTCCTAAGGGAAAGGGGGCGTACGCCCTCCCGCCCCTCCCCTAATTCCGCTACTGGTTCCCATTATATGACGCTTGCTTATCTCAAGCTTAAGGAAGGCGACACCCGGAGTGGTGTTCCGACTGCCCTCTCATTAACTTCAAGTATGTTTGCTGCGAAACTTTTGTTTAACTTTTTACAGATCTAGTTGTTATGTCTGTTGGAATGACACTTTGCCAACTCAGAAATTAATGGTCTGATTCTAGATAATTAGCAGCATTCAAGCCTCTGCGTACTCTATATAAAAAAACAGTGCTGTCAAACGATTAATCGATATCACTGTATTTCAAAATTTAAGAAAAATCAACTGAGGGAAACATCCTTAGCTCCAAACACTGTAGGTGAAACTAAGCTGCGAAATTAAACAAATTCCGAAAAAAAATCAAGTTGAAATTTGACCAAAACATATTTGACCACTAAGTGTTTTCAATTACTAGTTATTATTACAAGGAAACGTTTTTCCTTTGTTTTCTTTTGCAAAAACATGCATTGCTTAGTTTTCGTGCAGTTTTAAGTGTAGCAAAAGTGTTGTGACTTCTATCTAAAAAATAAAAAACCTTATATAAAAGTTTGAATAATTTAAAGTCTGAAAATAATCAGTGGAAATTGCTTCACATTTTTGAGTGTTTGGCTAATTTTAATCTCTGAACTGCCTTACTGTCAACGCGAGTGAATTTCAAATTAGTTCGTTATATGTTAAACAGCTGAAATTTTGTTGCTTCAGATTTGATTTGCTGCATTCAGAGGAAATTGTTTTCTGCCTAGTGGTCATTCGTCTTAAAAACAATTTTAGATACTTAGGTCATATCGTTTCAACACTTACTAATCCAATTGTCGTCTTAGCGGAATTTGTTTCAGTTGAGCAGAATTTCTGTTCCTATGAGCAGTTTGCCAGCCATACTTGACTTTTTGAATGAAAATAGCAAGACGTTCTGTGATTTCATCCTTCAAGATTCTAAATTAGAAAAGTTTATGTTCCCATTATATAACGCTTGCTTATCTCAAGTTTAGGGAAGGCGACACCCGGCGTTGTGTTCCGACTGCCCTCTCAGTAACTTCAAGTTTTTTTACTGCGAAACTTTTATTTAAACTTTCACAGATCTAGTTATTATGTCTGTTAGAATCAAAATTTGTCAACTTAGAAATTTTTTTTCGGAACCTGGAACAATAGCAGCTTTCAAGCCTCTGCGTACTCCATATAAAACAACACTGCTGTGAGACGATTAGTCCGCTCCACTGTTTCTCAAAATTTGAGAAAATTCAACAGAGGTGAACATTTTTAGCTTCAATTACTGTAGGTGAAATTGAACTTTGAAGTCGAAAAAAAATCAAGTTCCGTTTGGAGGTAGTCATTTTTTCAAATACTAGTTTGTAAAACAAGGAAATATTTCTTTTTGTTTTTTGCAAAAAAAGTATCGCTTAATTTTTGTGCAATTTTTAGTGTAGCAAGCGTGTTGTGACTTCTATCTGAAAAACAAAAAGCCTTTTTTAATAGTTTGAATAATTTAAAGTCTGAAAATAATCAGTGGAATTGCTTCACGCTTTTGAGTGTTTGGCCAATGTTATTCTCTAGTGCCCTTCTGTCATCGCGAGTTAATTTCAAATAAATTGAAATAAGTTAAACAGCTGAAGATTTGTTGTTTCTGATTCGTTTTGTCACATTCAGAGGAAATTGTTTTCTGCCTTGTGATCATTAATTTTAAAAATGTTTTTTAGTTACTTAGATAATATCAATTCAATACTGACTAATCCAATGATCATCTTAGCGGATTTCATTTCAGTCGAGCAGGTCTATTTTAAGAGAAACGTTGTTTTCAGAGGAAACCTCTACCTTCAACGAACACACTTATATTGGTTTGTTTTCATAGTTTTTTTGTAATCCCATTTTTTTCAATATTTTCTGAGAGACTTTTTCCAACCTTTTCTAAGACATTGCAACCTGCTGGCTGTTTTTATCCATTTAACGCTATCATTTCTGAATTAAGTCATATTCACATATCAGCGGAATTTGCACCAAAAGAAAATAGTTATCGTTATTCCTCAAATAGTTATGTGATTCCACACATTTTTTTCTGAGACTTTCGTTTAACAACGAAAAAGAAACATGAAAAATACGACAAAAAATAGCAGATAAAACAAAAAGGAAGATATTTTCATCATAAAACAAATTTCGTCTTTTTTCCTATGTAATTCCTTTGTAATTTGATGAAGAGAAAAATTAACATAGCTAGAGCAGTAAAATTTTTTTTTTGAGTTTGATTGTTTTTTTTAGAATCTTTTAATCATTGAATAACGTTGCTGGTTTTGACTGGTACTAAAATTTTTCTATCCCAGACATTTTAGTTTTTTGTAGCACTGTTTTAGCGAAGCCTCGACAAAAGGCAATTGCTTGTTCAGTCAAATTTGTTTTTACATGCATAAGATTTACACAATCTTTTAGCCCAGCTTACGCTTGTTGTATAATTGTAATGGTCATTCCTTTTCGTGATAGTGCTTGAATTTTTAGGTCACAGTTTGAAACACATCTTTTTGACAGCTTTTATGTTTTCAAATTGAAACCATTAACAAGATTAGCGAAGCCCACAATGTTTTCAATTTGTGTTCCTGTTTTTTGGGGTCAAACGAGGGGCTTCCAATACTCACAGAGTCTTCTGAATTGAAATTTTCCTGTTGCGTCAGTCTGAGTTTCATTTCATTACAAATCAACGTGGATCTCTCTAACTTTCCTTCGATTTCCTTATCTTTCTTCTCTGATTTTACGGCCAATTCCTGAGTAATTATTCCCGTTGGCTTAACTCAACTGATATCTTCTTCAGTAGTTTCGACCGTGCCTCATGCCAGTTTGTCATTCTTGAGATAACTTTTCTCCATTCGTTGACAGACTGAACGATCGCAAAATTCAACTAATTTGTTTTCAAAATACCAATTCCAATTTTCACCAATAATATTGTTCGAGATTTGGCTGTAAAGCAAGAAAAACAGACCGACCTTCAAGCGCAAGCATTCGTATACTTCAAAAACTTATAGCAATTGAGTTGCTGGGTGATAATTTATAAAAGACGGCGATTCATAACAGTTGACAACTCGCATTAATTGAGTTTTCGTTAGTTTTAGAAAGTGGAGAGCTCATAGCGGGCGACAAATCTCAAGCTAAATATCTGATATGGTAGTTTTCTAGGTAAACTTGTTATATGAGATTACCTAGCCAAATTTTTTGTATTTCGTGAAAGAAATAAATATAAATCAGTTCACTGCTCAACTGCAACGAGATGAACATGCTTCGAGTATACACAATAGCTATAGCAATACAATGCAAATTAGCTCTTGTTATAATTGTGTTGCTTCGCATTAGATTTTTTAAATTAACCCACATTATCAGGTCATGTAGCCTAGCGGTTAGCATAACCGCCTATCACATCGCAGGTCGTGAGTACGAACAACAGCCGAAGACTTTTTTCTGGCTAGAATTAGCCTAGATTAAGCTAATTTCTGATCAGAAATAAGATGAGAAATAAAAAACTTTAAGAAAATCCCTGCTTTATTTAAACATTTCACGAAAAATTTCAGACCAGAAATAAGATTAGATGTAAAGTATTTCAGAACAGAAATAAAGAGTTTTCTCGGTGCGGGTAGTAAATTGTAAGTGATTTTGTTATCTCTAAACACTTTGTTGGCTAATATGGTGTAATAAAAGCTGCGTTTCACTTGTAAATTTTAGTAGTTGTGGGGGCGTTTAACCTTGTATTATACGTGTCAATTACGCCATTGACACTTATAATACAAAGTTGCCCCCACAGCTATTACAATTTACAAATGAAACGCAACGTTTAATCCTCCATAATAGCCAACAATTGAATTGTTATTGAGTTGCTACAGTGGAAGAAAGGCCTTAAAGTTGCAAAGCTCACGAGAGTTCTACAAAAGATTTCACATTGTTTTAATGAATTTTCAGATACTTTAAATAATCGCATTTAATTACACAAAAAAGAACTTTGCCCTCGTTTTTGAATTATTAAAATTTCGTTGCAGTTCTTGATCAGAACTGCGATTTGTTTTGCCTCAATCATTTTTGCCAGATACCTTTAATTGAGCCAATAGCAAGCATGACATTCTTCACAATTTTCATTTTTGTATAGACCTGGTCAGACTATTTTAGACCTCATTTTAAAAGAGTTTTAAGATTTTCTTATCCGTTATTTTTTGATATAAATTGATACTGTTTAAACATTAAAACTATTTTTCGCTATCGGTAGTTTTTTTTGCAACAGTAGCTAAGTTTAAACGCCTCTGGAGATATATCCGCTTTCTTATGATAGTGCAACAAAAGATCATTTGACTTACATCTGAGTACACGAGGGCCCTGACAAAGACAGTGTATCGCTTTGAGAACTGCAATCTCCCGTTGAAATAGTTCCCGTAGTATCTGTTATCTCCCAGGGCAAAATCAGGGTAGAAATCGACCAGTTGGGCCACAATTGCTGCTCTGTAGTTGGAGGGGGATGTCTGGGATTGGTAGTAGGATGTGTCTGCAGATCGACGGAAGATGTTGTTTTCGATGGCATATGTGAAAGAGAAGAGCCCAGAAGATCTCTGCCGACGTATGAGAGATACTGTGTTCTTCTGAAAAGGCGATGAAATTACAATTTCCGTGGACTTTTTACTTTTTCTACGGACTTTTTACATTTTCTATGGAAATTCTACACTTTCTATGGACTTTTTCTTAATTCTATGGAATTTCTTTACATTTACTTTTACGTTTTCTGTCACATTTATTTTTCTATGTTTTAGATTTTCTATGGACTCAATGACTGAATGAAAAAACATGGAAATCTATTTTTCTTAAATGGCTCTTTTCCAGTCCTCACGCTTGGATTTGTTTAAAGTAGGTTTACCGAAGTCCATGAAATTAAACTTTGATGCGATAAATTGCAATAAAACATGTCAACGTGAACATGGGAGCAGGTTTTTACAACATCTCTTGTTGTCTCTTTTGCCAATTGCCGTATTTAATAATTGCTAACTTTTTTGACTGTTTTCTTAAATCTAAAAGTAAATCTAAAGCCAAAACGTTGAGGACTTACAGAGTTGTTTTCGATAAAAATCTGATCAGGTCCTGGTAGGTCCTCCACTTTGATGTTGTTGTCCAGTAGTTCCACCAACACCACCTGGTATGCGTCCACTGGACCACGAGAGAGGGAGGGCTGGCTCAGGCGGAGACTGATGATGCCCTCTGACGTCACTCCGTCACGCGTGGGGATCAGGGGGGTTGATATGGAGTCGGGCACTGAAATTAAAAGAATTTATAGGCAATTTTCACAAATTATGCAGCCATTTCTTTAATATTCGATTCAGACTTATTTGAAGTAAACTAACAAATTCAACACTATATTGAGACACAAGAAGTCGTTGCGTCTTTTTCATAATTCAAAAAAGCATTTGCTGAAACTCGGTAAGAAAAATTTAGTTTCAATTAAAAAATGGCAACTTTGTTACAAAAGAAAATAAAAGAGCGAATAAAAAAAAGCTTGACCAAAGCTCCTCTCCCTTGTGTGAAATCCTACATGGGTCGCTCGCTGATAGCAAGGACCATAGTTGACGAGGATGAGCAATCATTTAAGATTTTGCAAGTTTCTTGCTTAAATGAAAACTATCCTAAATAGCGTTTGGAAAAGTTCCGAAAACACTTGAGACTCTAAATGAAAAGGCAACAGTTTTTTTTCACTTGTCTCTACAAAAGATACCATCGAAACTTAATAATCGCTCGACTCTGTCGCTTGTACTGGCTACTTATTGTTAGCAACCAAAATTGCTGATATCAGTTTGGACTAAATTTTAAATTTTTTTTGATAAAGTTCACCCAATTTGAGAAAATAAGATTAATGCATAATTGTTTTCCGCTGTGATTTCCAAATTTACAAATAATTTTTTGACATGAGAAGCCAGTCACGTTTTTTTTTGCGTTTTTGAAATTTTGTTATACACGAGCGTCACATACCTTCCTTACAGCTAATGAAAAGCAAACGAAAAAAGATTCTTTTTGCTTATGATTTTTTATCAATTGTTTTTTGAACATACTTTTGATTTTTGAAACGTTTTATTCCCATTGAAGCGCTAACCGAAGCAATAAAACTAATTTTTTCACTACTTAAATGAAAACTTTTAACTTAAAATTGACTCTTTCAATTTTACACGACCTGCTCGCTCAAATTATTTGCTCAAAACTAGACTAAAACTCAGAAACGTTAATACGAAGACAACTTTTGTAATTTTTTCAATGTCGTTTATATTGGGACTGAAAGGGTTTTAATGAGGTACATTACTCGAACCCTTTCGATGATTTTGAAAGTTCCTGGCTTTGCTCGGGAAAAAAAAACACTGAAAAACATCCGCAGACAAAAATCTTCCCCATTTTCAATGGTCAGGACGAAAAGACAAAGTGATTAACATGATCTTTTTGAAGGGCTTGGTAATTTTTTTTTCATCGGACTGGATAGGACTAGATTGTTCAAAATATTCCACGATATCCAAAGATACGTAAATTATTTTTTAATATAAAAGTTAGGTGATAAGTAATAGATATTTTGGTAATCTTCTACCAAAAGTAATTTTATATTAGTGCGACTGGCTATATAGCAGTATACCTACCGGCATCTTCATTCCAACCTAGCTATTTTATCAGTCCTATTAAGAACAGTACAAGATGTTGTAAGATAACAACTGTAGTGGCGTACAAACTGTAGTAAATCCTAAGAAAGAAATTTAGCTCTGGAATGTGGAAGGGGTGAGTCGATTTGTATCTAGAACATAGGATCAATGTCGGAACAATCGACGTCTGTTATTTTCTTACCAGTGGCTTTAGTGAACAGGGTAAACTGAAGGGAGAGGTTGGTGACCTCTCTCCCAATACTGTCCAGTGTGAACACTGTCATGTTGAAGGAGTACTGGGTGAAGGGCTTCAGTTCACTCACTACACACAAAGTCGCAGTTGCAACTATGTTGTCCTGGCTGCCCTTGTCCGCATTCGGGTCTCCCATATTATAGTGCGACAGCTAGAAACAGATGCCAAAAATAAATTGAGGTACTACTCTGATATGACATAATAGTATCATGATAGACATAATATCTTTTAACCAATCAGTTCCGTAGAAGATAGCACTTAATAGAAAGTTCCCAGCGGCGCTTCAACATTTTGAATTACCTTCTGCGCTAGCTCAAATTGGTGCTCTTTCAATGATAAGTTATCTATATTGTTGGATTTTTGCACAATTTCAATCAAATTTATTATTATCTTATGCATTGCTGAACTAACTTTATGGATATTCGAACTATTCGGGACATCAGTAACTGATTTGCAAGTATTTAAGGTTGCTGGAATCGACTTTTGGATTTTTTTCTATTAAAGTTGCTAGCGTTCGATTAAAAGCATTTTCAAGTAAATTATACATAGCTTGCAGAATTGTTCCGACCATTTGAAAAATGGGGAGGACTTTTGTACACTCAAAAAAAGTTAAGTTAAATTTACCTTAAAAAATACCTTAAAAACGTTTTAAAAAAAAGGTAAATTTGCACTGCCTTAAGTACAACACCTTACCTTACCAATAAACATCTGAAAATTTACCTTAAATTACTTTAAAAATTAAGGTGTATCAGCCTTAAATAATACCTTAAGACTATTTTTATAGGTTTATTTACCTTTTAAATTTACATTTAAAAAGTTAGTTATTTTACCTATATTTTAGGTAAAACTTTTAATACCTTAAAAACGTTTAAAAATAAGGTAAATTTGCACTGCCTTAAGTACAACACCTTACCTTACCAATAAACATCTGAAAATTTACCTTAAATTACCTTAAAAGTTAAGGTGTATCAGCCTTAAATAATACCTTAAAACTATTTTAAATTTTTCCCTAAAAATACAGATATTCGATTGTGTTTAAGTTTTTTTTCTTTTTTTTTCTTTTTTCCTTTTTTTTTCAAAATCAGGTACCCCAATAAGTTATCAGATTGGGTCGAGCAATGAATCATATTAAAGCCCTATCAATCGTGGCTCAAACCACATTCAAAAACTTTGAAAAACTTTTCTCAGTGTCAAGAAAAACCAGTTTTTCCGGTACCAGTTTTAGTTGGTACCCCAATTATCAGATTGGGTCGAGCAATGAATCATATTAAAGCCCTATCAGTCGAAGCTCAATCGACATTTAAAAACTTTTTCTCAGTGTCGAGAAAAACCAGTTTGACTTTTTCATTTTTGGTCTTTTTTTGAGCATATAAGGTGAGAGAACAGGTTTCTTTGTTTTTTTTTTTCAACCAAAAATTTTACCACAAATAGTCATCGGAATAAATTGAGTGTTATTTCATATTAAAGCCCTTTCAATCCCAATCCGAACAACATAATTTTTTTTTTAAAAGTCTTCCATTTTCGAGAAAAACCGGATAGAAATTTTTGAGTTTTACTCTATTTTCAAGCAATAAAAGCAATCAAGCAGGTTATTTATCAAACGATAAGCCATAAATTTTTTGAAAGTTTTGTGCCGTCCGTTTTGCAATAACAACTGCAATATGCAATATGTTTCAACATAAATTCAGCTAAAAAATTAATAAAAGGGTTTTTCAACTGTTTGAATGTTAGTTTTGATTTTTTTGTATAAAAACCGTTACCCAATTTGCCTATTTTACTGTGAGTCTCAAATGAACCTAAACTTCAGGTTTTTTTTCAGATTTTCCATCACACCACGCACAAAAACAACACTAATTTGAAAAAAAAATTGATGTAATTTTTTAAGAACAAAAAGACACAAAAAACAACACTAATTTGAAAATATTTTGGAATTTTTTTGTAAGAATACAGGGGCGGATCTAAGATTTTCTCGAGGAGGGGGATTTTCAAAACCTTTTTGAAAATTTTGACAATTTTTTGAAAAAACTGGTAAAAAAAAAAGTTTTTGGGCACTTTTTGGAAAATTTTGGCGCGCGCTCCTCCTCAAAGTTAGTATATATTGGCGCTCAAGGCGCCTTAAGAAAAATTTTAGGGCCGGTCGGCCAAAAATGGATTTCTTAAAAAGTACCAAAAGGATGGACCCTTTGGGTCGGCAGATGGTCGAATCCCTGAGAGAAGAGAGGCGTCCGCCCCCCCCCCCCCCCACCGCCGCCGCCGATCCCCCAATCTACCGAATGAACAACGTCCACAAAATTAAACTTAATAGTCAACATAAAATAGAATCTGATATGATTGAAACTTTCAAAGGGTTCAATAAAACTAATAAAGGGTAAAAGTGCCACCTTATATCGAGTGACTTGAACTCCACTGGGTTTGCTCCACTGAAATACTACTAAGTCAGAGCCCACTTTGATAGGCTTCAGTTCGAAGTTGTCGTGCAGTCTTGGACCCACGCGGTGCAAAACTTCCCGCGAGAGTGCGCCCACAGTGCCCGCCGAATCAAGTTGCGGCGCCACTCGGATCCCGTACATGGTATTCTCACGCAGTCCGTCCAAGTTCGTCTCCATCACAAACTTTTGAGCTGAAATTGTCAATCTTCTCATTTATTACAATAATTGTTGAATTGTTTAAAATATTTAAGAAAACAAAAATTATTACTCTTCTACTGAGAACAAAATAAAATCGCAGCTTGAGTCTTATAAATTGTGTCTAATGAGTTCATGAACGCAAATGAATTTCAAAGAACAGCTCATTGAAGTTGCAAGCTGGCTTAACATTTTTTGGAACAAAATCATAAAATGGGATTCAGTAATGTGTTACTAACTAAGGGCAACAATTTTATTAACTACGATCATTAAAAATATCAACCAAATTCAGTAAGATTAATGTCCATGGCTTAATAACAAGATGAACGCCTCTAAAAGTTGTTGTTCTCTGTCGTCAGCAAAAAGACAGCCAATTTCAGAACGGTTATTTTAAACTTAACCGCATTGGCAAAACTAAGATCCCAATCGATCATCGCAAGTAAAATCAGCAGTTCGGGAATAAGTGTTCTTTTTTTATGCACTAAAGAATGGATTTTATTGTTTATCAAATCGACTAGAATCAATTGAAATTTGTAATTATTTTAATCGGTTCAATAGTCACCGAAATCCAATTTGAAGTACGTTTTTGGTGTAGATTATATACACTTTTTAACATAGTATATACATTGTATATAAAATATTATATACATTTTATTTTTCTTTAATTTTTTCTACAAACGAAATTTTGAATTGAAAAAATAAGTTTTGTTACGTGTTTTGTTTTGTTGAAAAAAAAACAACATCAACAAAAACAAGAATAGACGATTAAAGTGCAAGTTGCCTAAAACGTTTCGACCATAGTGTTTATAAAATTACAAACCATTTTCTTTCAAATTAATATATTTGTTTTCTGCGTCGTGTGATAAAAAAGATCTGATGCATAACTAAAATTTAAGCACATTCAATAGTCATAGTAATATTGGCAAATTGAACAAAATTTTTTAAAAAAATGACTTTAAAAACCCCAAAAAAAAAAAGTTTTCAGGATTTTTTCAAGTTCGATTTGCAAAAAATTTTGCATTGTTTTTTGAAATTTTGATTCCCAAAATGGCGCTAGAAAATCAAAAAACAAAATTAACTTGCTTAAAGCGGAGGTGTTGCGGCTTAAATTAGGCATAAAAAAGTTTTTGTAAGCTGCTCGCTTTATTGGCTCAAAACTGGACTTATAAATCAAAAAATCTCAACCAGTTTTTTTCAACACTGATAAACTTTTTTGAAATTTTTTTTAATGTAGTTCAAATCACGGTTGAAAGGACTTCAATTTGATGTATCATGCCATCCATTACCACATTTTTTGAGGTACCTGTTTTTGAGTGGAAAACATAGCAGAAAAAAATAATAAACACAAATTACTCCCTATTTTTCAAATGGTCGGATCAGCAACCCAAAAGCAGGAAAATCATACCAAAATTGACAGTTTTTTTCTGCAAAAAACAGAAATTAGCCTATTTCTAGATGACACGCTAGATAGTGTTTGTGTGTGTTGCGGGGGGATGAAATTGAAAAAAAATTGAAATCCTTTCTCACGTCATAACAAAATGCTTGATTTTAAACTGCAGTAAGCAATAAAGTGGTCTCATTTAACCTCGATTGTGAATCATGTTTTTTGGCCGCAGACAAAAAAATTGTCAAAAGTTGCATATTTCAGTTCCCCTGTTCAGTAGAAATGAAATCTGATGTCTTTGATAATTCTTCTCTGTGGTTTTTTGACATGATTCACAACGGCAGCTGAAATATACCGTGCTATATAAAGTTAATACTTCAGATTGATTGAGTTGCTGAGAGTTGTGCGGGTTGTCTAAGATGCACTGATTGAGTTGTGCGGGTTTGCCTAAGAAAAAGTTTCTAAGAAAAAGTGTCGAACTGGGTTACATAAAATCGACTTTTTACTAGTTGAAAACCTGAATAAAAATCTATTGCAATGTTAGTTTTGGCAATGCGGGTAACATCTATGGCAATTTTCGCTGGCCGTTATTTTGCCTACGCATTATAACCAAGCGATTTTTGTTACTTCTGACATCTAAATCAAATTTATGGCCGGCGCTTGAAAGCAATATCCACTAATTAATTGAAGTTCAGTCATGAAAACGAAATAAAATTCTGATACATCGGGTTGTCAGGCATCAAAACCGAAGGGGTGACATTAATGCGAGGTAATAATATTTTAACCGAATATTTTAATTGTCTTAGTACAAATAAAATGTCATCATTTCATTTGCTTGTCGACCCTTTGGCTTACTATCATAGCCCTCAACCCATATACCGTCTGTGACGAACTTTGGTTTGTTCCTGCTGCAACAAACAGCAGGGAAACTTGAACCGAGTTATTCAAATGAAAATGTAATTTAATCGTTTGTTCTTGTTTAGTACAACAACAGAAGGCATTATAAAAAATATCCCGAAAAAAGCCCACTCGAGTTTCAGAGCCCACTCGGATGTGAAATACGTGTCAAATGAGGAGAATTTTTTGGTATTCAGTTTTAAAACAGCCATTTAATCTGAAAATTCAAAAACTAAAAAATAAACAATTTCTATTGATTTTGTTAATTAATGATGGCAAGAGGATCTGTAGCGCCTACAATGATCAAAGCCACATCGACACGAAACCATAATCAGAAAACTTCTCAAATATGGGGACGACTAAAATCATCCGTGTCGACTTACTCTTCCAAATTAAAAGGTCAAATAAAAAATAGAAAAACCAAATTGATTAACCAGTCTATAAACAGCGAAGCCAAGGAATACCTTTATTGGAGTTTTATTATTGCTATGGCTAGTCTATACAATATGTGGGCAATACCGTTACGTTGGGCTTTTCAACTTGACGACTCAAAGCCCTGGATTTATACCAATAAAAACTTTTGGATGCCTCTTGATTATGTTTTTGACTTGGTTTTCGTTTTCGACACTTTTCTAATTGCGCCCAAAATCCAAATTGTTAAAGATGGTTCGGTAGTAGCGGATGCCAAGCAATTGAGGACCGAATTTTTTGGTGGTCGCCGGTTTAAATTCGATGTGATCGCAATCTTACCTTTCGACTTTTTATTTTTGTTATTTGACTGGCATAATGGCTGGTCTCAACTTCTGCGAATTAATCGATTCTTTAAAAATAGCGGATATTTTAACTTTTTGAACAAATGTGAACAACTTTTACCCAACCCTTACGTGTTCAGGATCACAAAAACACTCATTAATTTGCTTTACGTGATCCATATAACTACTTGTCTGTACTTCGCAATGTCTACATTCAGCGGAATCGGTTCAAATTCTTGGGCTTATGACGGAAAAATTGAAACCAAATTTGTTTCGGCTTATATTCGATGTTTTTATTGGGCTCTGAAAACGGTTACATCTATTGGAAACGAGAAAATACCAACTACGAGATCCGAAATTGTCTTCAGTATGATGAACTATTTAGGTGAGATGAACTAATATGGCTCAATAAACAAAAGGTTCTCTAACGGGACTCAAGCAACTGTCTATCGTTTCAGTTGGTGTGTTCTTTTTCGCCGTTGTGATTGGCCAGATGCGAGAAGTTTTAGAAGCAGCTTCTGCCAATCAGGAGACGTTTAGAAGGAGGATGGAAGATACGATAGCTTATTTGGAGAGACGGAAACTACCAGGTAACTTAAGGGCTTCCTTTTTTGTCGGAAGAGTTCACGTGGGTGTCCCAAACATTTTGTAATTTTAACTGAAGTCACCTTATTTTTCCATCAATAAATCCACCGAGAGTGTTCTCCAGATTTGATGAAAGACATCAACTTGCTTAATGTGCATAGAAAGCAAGAAGAGGATTATTTTTACGATTATTTCTTGTTTTTTTTTGTCTGTAAGATTGTTTAATTGTCTGTAAGATCATTTAAATTAACATGTACGGAATTCAGATCATTGAATTTTTTGGAGAAAATGTGATTTTTAAATACATTATCTACCGACTGGACTGTTTTCAGACCACGTGATCAGACGTGCGCGAATGTGGTTCGAATACATTTGGAGTACACAGAGGATGTTGGATGAGAATGAGGCGCTGAATGTGTTGCCTCTCAAAATGAAGATGGAGCTGGCATACAATGTACACAAAAAGACACTCAACAAGGTAATAAAAACTCCTCAATAGTCCTCTTAAATGAACATTATCGTGAGCAATCATGACTCTTTAAGCAATGAAACTTCTAAGAAATAATGAACACTTTTGTTTTTATCAAAATGAAGCAAAAACCAAACATTCAAAAAAGCATTACGACCAAACTGGGAGCATTGTTGTAGCTACCGTTACGGTTGTTTGACGGAAAAAACAAGGCATCAGTTTCATAATGCAACGTGATCGACGATCACAATTTGGGCTTTTTCCAGTTTCCTACACCCTCGAAAAAATACAACATAAAATTGTTCCTTTGATCACGCTAACACGTTTTCATGAAGTTATTGCGAAAAACAAACGTAGTTTTGTTGTTTTTTTAAGGGGCTCTACTGTCCAAACTGTGCATTTTGTGAAATACGAACGGATTCCGCAACAGGCCATAATAAGATTTTCGGGTCATTTGCAACATGGTTACTTTTCTTCCATCTTCTTTTCTATTTTGGATTCCACAAACAAATGGCTTAAACACTGTATCACTCAAAATTGCTCGTTAGCGAAATTGCACAATCCGCAACAGTAATCCGGAACAGTTTCTGGAATCCACAAACAAATAATAAAATATAGATTGTTATAATTGTTAGCTAATTTAAAAATAATCCGCATTTTGCGGAAACCAGTATTATATATAGTTACGTCCAGAAAGTACAATTTCAAATTAATTGTTTTTTTGTGGGTCATAAGCAAAACTATCCAACAGTTCAATCTCATTTGCTGCCAACAGTTTCAACTCACTAGCTAAATCTCAAACTCTGAAAGAATGAATCCCTTTCCGATCTCAAACACTGAAAGAATGAAAACAAACTGAGGTAAACTATTTCATTGGTTTGAATGCTGAACTAATAATAGTTTCACTTTTTCTTAACAGTACAGGGGCAATCCACAATTTTACTTAAACAATGATTTCGGATTTTGTTGAAGGAAATTTGTTATTGGCTTCCAATAGCAATAGTATTTTTTCGCTTTTAAATTCTACAATTATTAGATTGTACGCTATAGATCTAAATTGTTCACACAAGGACTGGTTCAATTCAGTATTACAAACAAATCTACGTTCAGTTTTTTGGTGGAATTTGTTTACATTTGCAGAATCGTTTGGTGGAATTTGTTTACATTTGCAGAAGATTTTTATTAATGGAATCCACTTAAATTTTGGAACATGTATAGAAATTTTTCCGTCCGTGGAATCCGGAACAAAAAGACATCAAATTGTGAGCTTTTCCAGTGCACATTTTGACTTCGTAATAGCAGGGCAATGCTCTCTCGTCGATCATAGGGCGCCTCAAACATCCGACGTTTCGATTGAGAGGCGACGACACATCGACCGCTTCACCACTGCTTTTCTATATATTTTTTTTTGGATTTTTTTTCAGTACGTCATCTACGGTTCATAAGTTCTATTAAAAAACGCTTTCAACCCTGATTTGTGTTTTGAGTAGATAATATTAGTCAATTTCTGAAGTTGAACATCAGGACGCAACTAATTGAAGAAAAATCTATATATTTATGTTTATTTCGTTATTTTTTATTCAATTTATTTTCATCAAAAAATGTGGTCCTTGTTACGTTCTGAGCTTTTTGCAAGCAACATGCTACCCTCATTGGTGCGAGTTGCAATCATTGGAAATGGGGAAAAACTTTGTCTTTGGGTGTGTTTTCATTTTTTCTTTTTTCTAAATTTCATGCAAAATCAGGCACCACAAATAATTGTCGGAATGGATCGATTGATAGATCATATTAGAGTTTTTTCAATTATAATTCGAACAACAATAAACAATTTTCAAAAGGTGGTCCCAGCGTTGAGAAAACCCGGTTTGAAATTTTAATGAGTTTTAGTTTGATTTCGAGCTTTTAAAGCAATTGAGTAACCTTTGTTATATAAAAACTGGCGCTTCTGTGGCGATTATGGTTTTCGGAAAAAAACATTCATGTTTTTTGGTTGTATAATTTTGGACGACAACTGTTTTCAGTTACACCTAAAACAGTAACTTTCTACGCATTTGCAAGGTTCTCTCATGACATCACTCATCACATCACGCACAAAAATCACGCACATCACCCATTTAATTTGATGGGAAAAATGTAGTTTTTTTATGAATCGGCTTAGCTTAGAAATATAAATGTGTTATACAGGTGAGTATCTTCCAAGGATGTGACAAGCAGTTGCTAAAAGATTTGGTACTGAGGCTGCAGCCGGAATTGTTTCTGCCAGGTGACTTCGTCTGCAAGAAGGGAGAAATTGGCAGGGAAATGTACATCATCACGCATGGAATAGTACAGGTTTTACGGATCAACGGTTAAACTTAAACAGAGTATTGCATTATCGAAAGAACTTGCTCGTTCAGCTCTGCCAACAACGACTGATGGGCCTCTTTAAGCAGCGGGCGGGCATTGATCAATGTATGCCAGATACCAATACCGAATTTAGGGAGGTGGGGGGAGGGGGGTTTCTCTTCAGGGATTCGACCCCCTTTGTACTATTTTGAGATATCCATTTTGGATGACTGACCTGTAGTATTGCGAAATACTACACACACAAAAGACCATTGTCTTAATTGTTTATTTAACGACCCAATTCTAAATTGGAGCGTGCCATTTAAATTAAAGCCTCTTTTCACTAAATCAGATATTGACTGATTTACTCTTATTAGGACTATAAAATCTTGTTTTGAAAATCCACTCCTTTTTAAATACTTGTCCAATTTTTCTCATTTTTTCGTGCTCAATATTTTAAAAGGGCGGCGATTATTTTTACGTCCCTTTTAACTTAACTTGAAACAAACTGGATAAACATTTCGCAGTCTTGCCGGCTGCACTGAAATTCTCCTTGCTTTGATTAAGCAGAGATGCACCTGCAATATGATGCATCAGAGAGAGTAATATGAATTTTTAATCAGACAAACTGAAGGCTGCGGTTTTTATCAAAGTGGACTAATAAGTTGAAGATATTTGATTTGAAAAAATCAAACAAAAACTAGTTGAAAATTCCCTTATTAAAAAGGGAGAACAAAGGAGCAGGTGAAACCTGAATAATTAAAGATTGAATCAGCCGCCGGTTTATGCTTACGAGCAAAAGGACTGGCCTGAAAACTTCAGTGTTTCATTTTGCTCAGTCAGCAGCAAGTCATTTCTCTTCAGTCAGTTCTTTTAAAAATAAATAATTTTTCTTTTCTGCCCTAACACTAAAATTAATCTAGCCCTTTTCATTTATAAAAAGAGAATAAATTCTCAGTTTAAGTTTGATTTGAAAAATTATAAATCGAGATACTCGAGATACGCACCCCCGAGGAAGTCTGGACTACAAGTACCCAAAGGACTACGGCAAGACGATTCAGACGACACAACCAGAAGTGCTGACTTGGACAAACATCAAGGGCAACCATACATACTAATCAGCCACCGATCTTAGTAAGAAGATAAAAAATTGATGAACAACATAAGATTAGCTCAACCTCCCCTCATAGGTATATTTCTTTAAGCTGTTCGATTCGTTTATATAATCTAATAACCCAGTGCTTTGTAATTAACCAACTAATTAATTCATACCTTTTCTAACTATTGTTTCTACTCTACTTTTTGTCAAGACAATTTGACGATCTAAGGTGAGACTTATAATTTAGGATAAAATTACTAAGCATTCAACCAGCAATGAGCGCTTAGTAAAACTGGTGCGACCGCAGCAGAGAACTACTCCTTAAGAAATTCTTTTTCCAACAAACTAGAAACAGCTTTTAAAATTCAAAAAAATATATTAATATTAGGATCTGTGAGTATTTGTCAGATTAGTTTCCAACCTCAAAAAGCCAGAGACAATGGGTATCTTTCGATAGAAACACAATTTCATTGTCTTCTACTTGACAGATATTCCTGGTAGGGTTCTTGCGAAATGCATCCCCTGCGCTAACAGTCGCCCACGATATCCCTCCATCTCGAGGTCTATTAGACGGCTTTCTAACTGTCATTAGCTCATGAACTTAACTATTATCTATTATTATAATAATATATAAAATTTCTGAAAGAATCGTTCTCTGCCTAAGTTCGCTAGTAAGATATACCCGTTTTGTCCAGTAATCCACTAAAGTTTTGCCGAAACTTCAGTATAAAGTTATCATCACTAAAATTAACGAAATTCTGTATTAAACTAAAGTGCTCAAAAACTTATTAAATATCTTCATTTATTTTTTCGAGGGGGTTAAGTGGTCATATGTGCGATCTAAGAGTACCCTAAATTGTATGATAAATTGAAATCTTCATCACATTATCTCAAACCATCCACGGTTGTTGCTATTTATCCTAATCCTTCATCAATTCTCGAGGCTTATCCTCAAATTTTCTTAAACTTTTTTTAATTCTAACCACCTTAACGTAACTTAAACCTAAATCATCCATCAGTAAAACTACCAACTACTGAAACTAAGGAAAAAAATAACAAAAACCACGAAGGAAGGAACGGATTTGGGTGTTTTTTAATAAATCATTAGTTTTTTTTAACGCAGTTTAAATATACACCTAATTAACAATAAGATTACGCACTAAAACCAATCTTAAACGTTAACCACATAACACCAAACACCAAGTTTTAGTTTCAGCACAAAAATATCAGGTTTCACAACAAAAACTAAGTTTAAAACACTGACACATCCACTTTATATTGATAAAATAGGTTTCATATGATAGCATAAGCACTAAAAAATTGATTTTTACCAGCCAAAATTTTTGGTTTCAGTTTAGGTTTCAGTTATAGGGTCAAACGTTTCAGTTAAAATAAGTATAGTTTCCGGTCAAAATTTCATATTTCTGTAAACGGATTCGGGTAAAACAGCAAAAATTGAACTAGTCAAACCCAAATTTGGATACCATAAGTCAAAAACCTGGTCTTGAATGGTACGTTTTTGTTAGTTTCAGGTTTCAGAACACAAAAATTGAGTTTTTGGTCTCAAAATTGAGCTCCGAACGCCGAATTTTGACTTTCTAGAGAAAACTAACGGTGTTAAAACCCACCAAACCAATTGTAAATTTTGGTTCCTAAGGCTGAAACGTACGTTTCAGAATTGGTGTTTTTGGTTTCAGACCCAAAAATCTTGCTTCCCGAGAAAAATTTTTGTGAAATATTGAAAGATAATAAGAATCTTTAATGCACTAACAAATTTTTAAACTCAAAAAACTTCTAGAAGGTGTTAGTTTGAGCCCTCAAACTTATAGTTTCAGAAAACTAAAATCGTCGTTTTAGGCTAAAATTTTCATCTTTTTGGCAATTTTATTGCTGGAATAGAAATATATTAGAGAGACCAACCTAAATTTTCAATCTCAAAACTCTAAAACCAAGTGGTCAAACCATAGTTTCAGTTCTAGAAATCATAGTTTCAGCCGCAAAAACTTAGGTTTTCGCAAACAAATTTTTGATTTTGAAGTTACAAACCTGTTCAAAATTCTAATTTACACTAGACCAGCTATCAAAAACAAACTTTTTATTTTCATGCACCGAGTTTGAGAGAGTTTAAGAGTTTCAGGTTTGAGTTTTCAAAAACTAAGTTTAAGATATCAAAAGATTCGGTTTTCTCGAATTTTTTTGCAAGATAAAGCAAAAACCAGATATGATAAAGCGTATAGAAAATTTTAAGATTAAAAAAAACTCAACTTCAGCTACCATAGTTTCAGGTTTCAGATTATCGTTTCAGTCAAAAAATTTTCTAAAAATTTTTAACCAAAAATTAAGTTTTGAACCAATAATAACCAATAAAGGCATATAGTTATATTGTCAACCATACCATAGCATCAACAAAACTTCACTTGAACAAAGTTTCAGGTTTCAGTTAAGGTTTCAGCGAATACAATACTTGTAAAACTTAGAAAAATATTTAGAAAAATTTTTTTTCCAAAGAAATTTTTTTTATTTCCTTATCTTATTATTAATAACCTTTGTTAATATTCAATAATTCCTAAGAGGTTTTCATTACTCTAAGACATACTAATCAAATAGTACAACTTGGCTTAAGAAAAAGAAAACAAACATCGTGAAATTAATGTCAACACATTTTAAAATTGACGTCAGTACAATAAATTTAAAACTCAAGTTAGGAAATAAAGTCTCTAACATCATATGTTATATCACTAACACGGAAAAAGATCATATTAGTATACTAGCAAAACACCCTAACGAAGATAAACACGAATTATACGTCTTCTTTTGACGATATACTCCAGAAATTGACACAATTCTTCAGCAAATAAAAATACCAAATAATATAATTTATAAACCGCAAGTACGATTAATTGCTTCACTCCCGATTGCTTTTTGATATCATAATATACCCAAGCATAGAACTACTTGCATTTTAATCATTTTTTTTAAAGAAACACAAATTTTTCCTTAAACAAAAATTAAATCATAACAAGTTCATAAAAAAAATTTAAATATTTTTTATATTGTTTATCATTCCCTAGATAAATATTTATGTCCCTAAAAGGATGTAAAATGCTATGACCAACTTTTATCAAGTAAATACAACAGCATTTATTTTAAAACTAAAATTAAAAAATAAATCCACAAAAATTATTTGGTATATCACCAATATCCAAAAAGATCAAATCACAATTTTGTCCAAACACCCACACAAAAATATTCACGAATTAACCATTCTTTCCAGCAGCAATACCCTAGAGATAACTTCTATCTTAAAAAAGCTTAATCAGCCCATTAGCACTATTGATCTATCTAACAAAAATTCGTATTCATTGAAACCAGCAAACTTCATTGTAACTTTATTTAACTTTATTGTAACTTTATTCTAACAATTATTTCAGTCCGTACAATTGATCAGTACACAACACATCCAAACCTTTTATATATTGTTAACAAAACATTGAGTGAATTAAACAAAGATGGCAAATGTAGTAGCATACCCAGATTTAGCTCTCGAAAAGTTTACCGGCTTAGATCCGAATGAAGATGCAAGAGATTTTCTTGATATAGTAGAGAAAAAGATAGCATTTTCCCTAGGCACTAGACCAGGAGACGCAGGTGACGAACAAGACGCATATGATAACAGACAAAGAGCCTTATTTGGTTCAATATTAAGAGGCCCAGCCGCTCAATGGTATCAGGGATTAGCAGCAAACTTACCTTGGAATGAGATAAGAGATCAATTCATAGATAGATTCACTGATGATAAGGATAAGTATAGGAGACGAATAGAAGCAGAAAACATAAAAAGACAACCTAATGAATTCATTAAAAGCTACATACATAGATTAAGCACCGCAGTAGACCGTGGATGGCC